TCTGGACCTTTACATAATCCACATAAGTTTCCTATAAACACCAAAAAACTTCAATGAATAGCCTTAACAAGTGTTTATAGATATTTCAATCTATATGATATGTGGAGGAAAACTAGAGTTGTAATACCCAGACTCGAAAATCGGTTCGAGATAATTATTCTTATTTATAATAAATTATATAAATAATTAATTGAATTTATTTCAATTTGATTTTATTGAATTTTTGTAAAAAAAATGAATTAGGGATGAAATTAAAAATAATTTTAGAGAAAATGAGTGACATTTTGAATTTGATGAGTGTTTTTTAAAGAAAGATTGAAAATAAGGGGTTAAATAAAAAAAAAAAGAAAGTTTAGCCACGTGGGATGGCCCGGTCAGCAGTCCCGACAAACTAGAACACGCCGTGTGGCAACCCCGCTGATATCGGCACCACAAGAGAGGCGACGCGAACAATCCGTGTGCTCAGAGATTCGATGATCCAGATCTCATCTTGCACACGTGAACGGCCCAAATGCATTCCCTCTTCAGATACGATTGAACAATCAGATTCAATTCGATCGTGCGATCCAAATTCATTTCCCAAATAAGATAGATCCAACGGACGAGAGAGAGTCATATATCCCCGAATGGACAGTCCAGATCGACACAGGGTAGATATTTAAGCATCGTATTCTAGGGAACCCTAACCCTAACTGCACCCGAAGAAGAAAAATCAGATGTCGGAGAACGAGGCCGACCACCAGCCACCGCCGCACCGAAGTCACCACCGATCGCCAAAAAAGGTAAAATTTTCTCATTTCTGCTCGAAATTCAATTCCGAGTCTCCTTGTAGTCATATTGGGGCAAAAGGGAACAGTGGGTGAGCTAAAAACTGTGAGTAAAGCCTGTGCAGAGCCGCTGCGGGCAAAACCCAAAACCCTACACGATGACTCCTTTTCCGTTTTCTGTTTCACACGATTATTTGACTACCGTGTTCACTGTCTCTTTCTGGTGCAAGTTAGCCGAAGAAGAACCCCAGCCACAAAGGAGGACCGGCGTAGCTACTGCATCCGGAGAAACCCGCCAGTAGGTTTTAATTTTTTGATTTTTCTAGCCAACCAAGGCTTCTTAACATATTTTTTTTGCAGGAATACGTGTAAAATTGACCAAAACTGCCATCGTGGGCGGTGGAGCCAGCACTGGAGCACAGCAGCACCGCTATGCCGAAACCCTAAAATTGGCCAAAAAAGTTTTTCGACACCGATTTTGGATTTTTGGGACATGACGAGTATTTTGATTTTCGCATGGAAAATTCAGAAAACCTGTGGCCCATCGGGAGGCATAATAGATAATATAACGCTTCAAAACACTGATCCGGGTAAAAATCTCTCACCTTATTCTCTGTTACGGTAAATTGAGGCTTAATGATCAATAATTTCGTGTTTTGTGAAAATTTAAAAAAAAATTCTAACAATAATTGCAGGTCACTAGTAGAGCCGAGAATTGGTCAGTATATGATTGCCCTAATTTGTCTGTGTTGCCTATTTATCTTTCCTATACTTGCTAAATTGCTTATTATCCGCTGTGTACTTCAAATTATTACTTTGAATTACTTATTGTTTATTGATTGTATTGCCTAATCGTGATTTTCTTGATATGATTGATGGATTGGAAATAAATGTTCCAATTATATGTCTTGATTGTTAAACCGTATTGCTTGCTTAGATGTCGTTTAAATTAACCTATGAATATAAAATGAAATGTTGGTATACGATTGGTGATTGTTTTGTTGATGAAAATCTATATATGAAAGACTTACTGGATACCATAGGAAATGGTGGACGGACTCGGTATATAGGGAATCCTACAGTAGACATTACCTCAGTCGGAGGGGGCTGAGAGGTCCCATATTGAAAGGGTTTGAGAGATATGGTTCATCCTCATACTGGACAAGATATTGAGACAATGATGTGTTTGGCACCCATTACTGGATGAGGTATAGAGACAATCTGGTTAATGATCAAATTTAGATGCAGGGTTCATGAGTAGAGGGATATCCTTATGGACCCTCATGGATTCTAGTAAATAGGTTAAGGGAGAATTACTAATTTTGTTCACTTGTGTATAAAATTAAAATATTATCTGCTTACTTGTTTTCATATATTGATTTTGGAAAATTCGTAATGGTAAATATGGAATAAATGTTTTAAAGTTAAATGAATTTATTTAAATTAAGGGCTCAATTAGACATTTTGTGATTTTTACCAACTTTCGATTTTCCGTATCAGTTATTAGTGTGATATTCTTACTGAGATAGTATAACTCACTTTTTTATTAACCATTTCAGACCAAAAATACCAAAATTTAGACTCCAATCAATAAAAGAGTTGTGAATAATTTACCTCCCGAACTCCCTTCAAGTGCTTATGGATGTTAGTTCCTTAGAACATTTATTTATTTATTTTTAATCATTATTTTATTTTTTTATAAACCGTTGTAATAGAGATATTTCATTATTTTTATTAGTTATTATAATTTATTATATAAAAAATAAAAATCATAAATATATTATTTGCTTTCTTTTAATTTTTAGACCTTTACAAAAGTCGCTATGGTAATTTTGCTGGCTATGTCTTCGGGTTTACTGTTATATATAAGAATCCATATATTTACACACACATACATACAAGGAGAGTATATATACTTCACAGGATCACTTTGTCTGCATCAGGAATTAAGAGGCAAGGTGGAGAAGTATACTCTAATGGCGTCTCTATCAGAGAAGAAAATATGTCAGAGAGAAGACAGGCTCAGGCCAGAAGAACATGGAATTTTTATACTTTTCCACTGATTAGTAATAAAACCAGTTACTGAAACTCAAAAGCTCATATGGGAAGGCTAAATCCACAACTCAAATCCAATTAGGCTGCTAAACTAATTTCACAAGTACAGAGTCAAAACTGAGAAAAGCTCAAACTCAACCTCATACAAACCACACCACTCCTTCCTAAAAACACAACCTTCAAACACTTTGGGAAGGAAGAAAAAGAAGAGGGTTCTCCATATTGCACATAATATAATCAAGTTGAATGAGCAACCATGAAAATGTAAATTATCCTACATATTCACCGAATCAAGTCCCCTTCGCGTTTTCTACCCTTTACCTGTCACGATTTATGGTTACAGGTTACCTGTTGTCGATGAAAAGCTGCTGTTGCTAACCCCTGGGTGTGCGGACAACTTATAGTTACGCGTGTCGGGTTTCCGATGACAAATTGCTGCTGCTACCACCGGCTGTGCGGTTTGGTTCCCCCACTCGAGCTGCTAAAGCAAGAACTTCAGGTGACATTTCCCAGCTTCCACTCTTTCTTCCCCAACTTGACCTTCTAGGGTGAATTCCAGCACGGTCAACTGTTTCATCAACTGTAGTCCGAATGTCGGGGGACAATTCACCTAATTCACCTTCCTTAACGTTTACCCGGGTGTCAGCAAGTTGACCCTCGCCATGATCAGCTCCTGGGGCCATGTCCCCCCATACAGTTTTTCTACCCATTTCTATGTCATCCACTGCTTTTCCCATGTTTGGACTCATAAAACCTGCACCAACTGATCGAGTTGGTAGCCCTGGTTCCCGGGGTACCTTGGCCCTGAAATTGTTCTTGGATGGTGGGATAGTTGAACAAAATATCTCTTTGAAGTTTTCTACCACTCCTTTGTTATAAGGGTTGGCTCGACGATCATATCTGTACCTGAAATTCTCGTATGTAGTCTGCACAAGAAAGGTATATCAATTTACAGTTATACAAACAAAATAAATTATATAAGAGAACATGGATGGACTCTTTCAACGGCATAATGATGAAGAAAGTATAAACTTTTCTAACCTGATTTGTACTGATGAGATATAAATGGAAGGCGGTGAGTCCCCCGACAAACCACATTGATATAAACGTGTATATTATGAGAACAATGGAGGCAGGGGTCTTGATCATTGCTCTCCAAATAGTTGTCTCCTCCATTCCCATTATTCTCCGAATATAGACCCAGCAGAAAGCAAAAACATATATACAAAGGAGGGTTGTCGAGAAAACGAACATGAAGAAGAACCTGTAATTGCGCTGCATTTACAATATCATGCCATTAGATACACTAATGTAATTTCCGAATGCAAATCATACATGGCATCATGACCAGTACAAACATTTCCAGTATCAACCACAGAATCTCCCATATTTAGCATGTGCATTTATCGACTGAATCAATAATTAAAAATATGCATATTCTAAATTACTTGGTAGTTGATAGAGTATCACAGAGATGAAGTATCAAAAATATGACAAGATGGAGTGCCTGATAGTTCACAGAATAGCAGCAACTGCGCTGAAGCTTGCAACCCTTCGGCATTTATAGGTTTGATGTTTTATCAAGAATAGACCCGTTTCTTTTTGGCCTCGTTTTTGATCCACGTGTTTAGAGTAAACAGATTTAGATATGCTGAAGCCCAATAGCTCAAGCCATGCAATTATCGCCTTGGACCAAGGGAGTTTCATTTCAAAAAATATAAAAAGAACGAGGAATTTGCTGCTAGAAACTACTTGGCTAATCCTGAGAAATACTTTCCTACCAAACTACATAAAACTTTGCTCCGAAAAGAAAGAGGACATAAAAGAGAATTTTTGTATGATTAGCATAAGATATTAGGATTATTGTAGGCAGATTATCTCTTACCAGCCCAATACATTGCCCGACCCAAGGGCAGTGATGATCAAATCTTTCCACACAGTTATTGCAGATTGAGCAATGTGAACAGCGTGGAGATCTATAAAGCATGCAAGTATCACAATACTTGACTTTCACAGTCATTTCCATTGACATTTACTTCGTTAATGCGAGGCAAACGTAACTGTGGAGTTTGGCCAGCTCCAGCGTCTACACTACCATCAAGGCCTTCTGGCTCTGGAGGGTGTGCATTACGTGGAATTATACCCGGATCTCTTCCAGAGGTAAGCAGAAGAAGAACTAAAACCTGAAAAAACAAACAGAGAAATGTGCTTGTAGAGGTCAGAAATCTATGACTTATTTCAAATACATTCCTCAGAAGACCTAATGCAGTAAAGGGCACAAGGGCTTTCCCAAGTGATGGATGGAGAAGAAGACTCACATAAACAGTAAATATGACAGCAGCAACCATTAATGAAATTCCCAAGTGGTCAGAGAAGTCATCCATCAGCTTTCTGGCAACAAAAACGCAGAAAATTGTAACGGGAGCAACGATAAGGAATATAGTCAGCCCCAGTGACCTTACATCTGGTCCAAATATAAACCTTCCCTGGAGAAAGAATATCTGCACGGAAGCAGGGAAAACAGTTAATTAAGTCAGAAAAATCCTAAAAGGGTTAAAAAAAGAATGGATCTCCAAAAAACACTACTTCTGCAGAAGGTTTACTTCAAGATTTCTTTGAGAGAACTGTAAATCCTTGTATACTTTGTATATGAGTGGCAACCCTTTGTTGCCTCTTAAAGGAAGATAAAAAAGAAAAATGTTTGTGTTATTTCAATATCTAAAAATTGAAAAAATAAAGGAAAATAAATATATGTTTTAGTATTTTCTTTAGTTTAGTTTTATAGAGGAAAATTTTGATTAGTTATAAGGAAATAGTGAGTAATACCCTTTATTAACAGAATAACAAGCTTGGAATTAAGGATAACATACAAAATTCTCCTCTAAACTTTTAATCTCTTTCCTTTCCCTTCCCCTTTTCCCCCAATTCAGAAGAATAGAAAAATTGTAGTGTGAAACAAAAGGAAGGATGCTCACCATCCATCTGTTTCTTTTCCAAATTATTATTTTCATCCAAACAAAATTAAAGGAGGTGAGGGCTGAGGATCTTTCCTTTTCTTTTCTATTTCCTACTTCTCTCAATCCAAACATACTGGAAAAAAGGAATTTAGCTTCTACCAGCTTTCCTCTCCCCCCAATTCGATCTCTTCCATCTCATCTAAACAGCATTTTACAGTCCACAGATAAATGTTATATGGAGATGTCAGAAATACAGCACATTAGATTTTAGGCCCTACTTAGGAGAACCTCTAGCAGTCCGGTTCCTTGACAACAAAGCTTATGAGGGTTCTTCAGTTTGCCCCCTCCAACTGCAGCAAACCATAGTCCAATCATTATCAGTTCAGTAATGTTAATTGTTTGTGCAACTAGGACTGGGAGAGGAAAATAACATGAGTGTCAATTAGTTCATGTCTCAAATACAATGCAACACAAGGAATCCATCTCTCGGTAGAAACTAAAACCTAGTAGTTAGAGTAGATCCACTCATTTTCCTTGTGTTAGAGGATTCACTTTATCCATTTCGCATTTCATTGCAAAGAGATTCTTTAAATATCCAACTGCCATGAACAATTAAATGACCCATAAGATATTTAACGTTCAATTTAATACATGGAAAGCTTTATCACACCAATCTAAAGACCCTCGATCATTCATAATAGCTGCTTTAAAACATATATTCTATCAGGCTCAACTCAGGCCCTAAACATAGTAATGCTGATTTCTAAAACCTCAAATAAGATCCACAGTAACTGAATATTTCAACCATATTCCTTCATTGTCTTCCCGTCCCCCCTTTTCTAGTCTAGAGAAACTCAATTTCACCAAAAACTGGAACATCGAGTGTCAGTCTTTCCTCATTTTACTAATCTATATAAACACAGTATTAAAAAATATAGTCCGATAAACTGGACACCCAATTTAGAATCCAAAGCATAATCAGTAACTATGACAATAGAATTCCAAAAGGATTTTTCTTTCTTGTTGAAGTAATCTTGGAGTCATTGTTGTGGAAGCGAGATTGTGGAACCCATCTTTCTCCTGTTGAACTAACCGATAACATACTCGTTCATTTACAAGAAACCCAAAAGGAAATTTAACAGCTTGCTCAGTAAATATCAATCACATCTTGCTAAATGACAAGTAATCCTAAATGGGTAGAAACATACATATACATACATATATATACATGTATAGATATATTGACACATTTAAGAATCTTCCTGACTGCAATTGCATGCTCCTTAAATAGGCTAAAGTATCATTTTCATTTTAGCTCACGAATGGAGAAAAAGAACATCTTTAATCATAATGCTTGATAATATCAACTTAAACCCCTAATTAACCGATATAGAAAAACCAAGAGAATAAAACTTAAATTTAAACTTGAACTCGGAAACCAAGTACAAGCAAATAAAAAAAGATCCCAGAAAAAAAATGGAAAAAAGAAAATAAAAAGAAGAAGAAACTCACGTTGCTGCCTTTCCATGTTTGGTAAACCCGCAAATCACTGTTGGATCCCGGATCGGATCGCTGCGGCGGCGGCACTACATACATCTCTTCAACCCCAAAAGAAGTCACTCTGAATAAACCTCAAAATGCATAAGACCAACAAAGCGAACTTTCTAACAGCTCCGTTTACTTCAAATTTCGAGCTTGACAGTAATCGCGGAAGCTGACCATCGGTGAGTCAAAACGAGTCAGATTATGGCGAGTGAATCACGAGTCGCCGACAAGGCATTAGCTGAAAAAGAAAAAAAAAAAAAAAAAGCGGGGATTTTTATCTTTTTAGTCCTCGAACAGAGATTCTGGCATCGCTAGATGGTGGCGTGGCTAGTGTTGTGTTGTGGGAGTGAGCTGTGCTGGGGCTCAGGGTCTGTGACTTTTAGGAGAAGAGAGGGTGAGGGCAGGGTGGTGACGTGGCGATTCTTGATTGGTGGTGACTGAGCTGGACTGGTGGTGGTGGGTGGACAGACTGCTTTTCTCACTTCTCTCCAGTTGAATCGATCATCGGCTCGCGACTTCTCTTTCCAAATACTTTGACCTTTGTCTTTGCCTCGATTTACAATTCTACCCTTCATTAATTCTTTTTCATAATTATAATGTGTTTATATTTTATAATTAATTAATTTGCAATTAGTATTTAATAATAATAGATTATAATCATATACATAAATTTATTCACTACAAATTAGAGAACTGTCCAATTAAATTTTAAATTTTAATTAAAGATAAAGTAAATTGGAGTGATATAAAGTGGTTAAATAATAAAAAATTAGACTTAATTTTTTAAATTAAATTAATTAATATTATATGTTTTTTTTTTTTTTTCATTTTGTGGTTATTTTATTCTATTGTAATCATCACTAAATACTAAAAAACACATTTTAAAAAACAGAAAAACACATGATTACACCCTCTTTGTGGTATGCCTGCCATGATGCACGCACCTAGATGGAACTATAAGAAAAAAAAAATGAACCTTGGAATTTGCAAAATCAAGTAGGCCTCTTTCTTCGCCTAATTGTGGTTAGTATCAAATTAACTTATAGAAGTCACAACCTAATCCAATCATGACAGTAATTTATGGTCAATTAATTTAAAGATAATAATTAGTAGGCTTAATCCTACTAAATTAATAGTGGGGAAGATTAATGATTAATTTATACGAATTAAAATTCTAAAATTTTTAAATATGTTTAATAAACTCATAGGCTCATTGGGTCAAGGATCCACAAAGGTTCAACCTTTAGGAAGATTTATTCAATTACTTGTTTTTTGAGAATTAATAGAACCTTTCATCTTTTTCTTTAACCCTACAAAATTTTGAGCATGTGTTCAATAAACAACTATACTAATTGGAATTGTAATTATTACACATTTATCTTATAATTCTTTATTCATTTGGACAAAATTTTAGTTGAAAATTAAGACTATGATGAAATATTGAACAACCCAAATTTATAATTGAATATGGATTCATAGAATGGTGGTTAGCATTTCTCATTGTGAGTCTAAAAATCTACGTTAGACTCATGGTGGTATATTTTCCTTCTTTCTTAAAACTTTTAAAATTTGTAACATTTATGTTTAATGGGTCAAATGTCAATATAAAATAAAGTTCTTAGAAAATTTCCTTCAGTAATCTCGATAAAAATTTTTATTTTCAAAAAAATTTTAAATTTTTAATCACGTGTTTATTAAATAGAAACGTCATTAGATTAAATGCTCATATAAAATAAAACTAAAAAAAAAATTATTTGACCTAACTAATAACAATCTCATTCCAATTGAAGTTGTAACTATAATAAATTACTTTATAATTTTGGGCTATTGAGAAAAAAAAAATGGCTAAAATTTAGGGTAATAAAAAAAAAAGAACATGTAGGTTCATTATGCTTATTGGGGCAGAAGGCCTATATAGACTTTTAACACAAAATTTCAACTGAAAATTAGGGTCAAAATTTATGAATTTTTTATTTAAAATTTAATAATATTAAACAATTATAAATGGTGTAGAGGTTAGCAGTTTGGACTTCGAATCCAACGACCTGGGTTCGACTCCCGGTGGGACCAAATCTCAAACTTTGGGTAATTCTAAAGAATTGAAAACTTCACTTCAATTTTAAATATACAGCTAAGCTAATATAAGTTCATACATTTTATTTATTAGGTGAAATACACATATTAATTATAATATAATATCTCTTAATAAAAAAATAAAAAAATTTATAAAACGATTCAAATTTACAGTTTTTTATAAAAAAAATTTTCCATCAAAGAAAAATTAATTTAAAAAATTAATAATACGAATAGTTAATTTTAAATTTATCCATAAACAAGCACTAAAATAGTTATCATCATTATTATTTTTATTTTTTATTTTTCGTAAAAAATGTTGCAACAGACAAGAAATCCAGCATCCATCACCATTTCATGGTTGTTGAAGAACATTGAACCCTAAAATGCTAAAAGACTAAACATTGATGAATGCGCTCAATCTTGAGTAATAGCTCCACGACCAAATCTGACAGAAACTTGTCTTCTGATTTTCTGCTATTTGTTTATGTTCTTTTAAACCAAAATCTGTTGTTGCTTGTATCCTAAGCTACTGTCCACTCTGAACCCTATTCACCCAACTGGAACAAAAGATTAGACCCAATAAGTAATAACAAACGAATCATACCAATCATGAATTACGACTAAATTCTACGTATCAAATAGATTTGAACTAAAAACGGAGAAAACGGTGACGAGAATTACCTACTGGAACTAGATTGTGCTCCTTGTTGCCTTTTTCCTCTCCATGTTTCTCCCCACATCTTTGCCTCTGCAACTGCTCGTTCTCTATCTAAATCTTTACCCAACATCCTCGTTGTGTCCTTTGGGGACTCGCCTTTCTCAGAGATGTTACTACTTGTCATGTCGGTCTCGTCTGGGGTGTACTTATGGGATGTCAAGAAATTCAAAGCAAGCACAAGCTCACTAACAGATGGCCGGTTGCTAGCATTTTCTCTCAGACACATGAATGCCACCTCCAAAGCCTTCCTTAAAATAGATTCTGAAAACTGACCTCTTAGCAATGGATCTGCTAGCTGTGGGATATTTTTCCGATCTTTTATCATCAAACGTGCCTGCAATCGATAAGGATACAAAACAAAACTAGCTCAAATATCAGCCCTTGATTACTAATCCACCCCTAAGAAGGCATTGATCGAGTTGTGAAAAGAAGTTACTGCTATATTTGGTACATTTTCCATTTAATTCTCACCATCAAGAATTTCAAGATTAACACAAATAGCAAACAGAAATAAATTACCCAATCGACGAGATAGCCTTTTGTGCCACTGTGTGTATCATCCAGTGCTTTACGCCCTGTGATCAGCTCTAAGAAGACTACTCCAAAACTGTAGATGTCGGACTTCATTGTCAATCTCCCACTTTTGGCATATTCAGGGGCACAGTAACCATGAGTGCCCATGACCCTGGTGGAAACATGGGACTTATCTCCGCTTGGACCGAATTTTGCGAGTCCGAAATCTGAGAGTTTCGGCTGAAAACCTTCATCCAATAGGATGTTTGATGCTTTCAAGTCCCTGTATATGACAGGAGGATCTGCTTCATTGTGCAGATAATCCAGCCCTTTGGCAGCACCAGCCGCTATTGCCATCCTTGTGTTCCAATCGAGAGGCTTCCTATCAGGTGCAAGATCTGGAAAGTAATCACTCAAACAATTATGTAAATAAGATTAAGAAACTGTTAAAAGTAAATTACAGTTTCACTTGCTGGAACTTGATCTTGTTGGCACAGGAACCATATTAGTAACCCACTTAAGGATGAAAAGGGTAAATATTATACAGAGGCAAAAAGGTATTTTTACAGTGTAACCATTGGAACAGAGCTAATCTAGTTGCCGGCCGGGCTGTTGCAACCTCCAGGCACACATGGAGTATGCACTTTCACTTCCCGCCAATTGTAGCCTATAAATAGGCCTTTTCCTATTAATGAAAGTATCGAAGAATATATCACCTGAAGCAATCAATTTCTTTCGTTTCTCTATTATCTTCTTTTTTTTCTCTGATCGAAATCATGAACAAGATTTGTTATAAATCACTTGCTTAATCTTAAGAATTACTAACTATAATTCTTTTACTCTGATCTTTAGATCTTTGCATTAGCAATGTGAATCATCTATATTTTGAGCAGGGAAGAAACCACGTCGTATTTTAAGGTAAAAAGCTAATTTGATCTCAAAAATATTACCATGGAGGTGATTTTCCAAGGATCCGAGAGGCATATACTCATACACGAGAAGCCGCTGGTCGCCTTCAGCACAATAACCAATCAAAGTAACAAGATTAGGATGGCACAAAAGGGAAAGCATGAGAACCTCCACCAAGAACTCTTTCTCCCCTTGAAGACCTGTTTTATCCAGTTGTTTAACAGCTACAACCTACTCAAGGCAAAGCATGGAATCAAAGAAACAAAGTCACTCTCTGAGTCAAAGAGAAAATGAGATTAAACCCAGAAAATCCCAGGAGAAACATTTGAAGATAACAAGCTAGAGGAGAAATATGGAAAAGAACAAGAAATTGATCAGGCATGAAACAAAACTTTACCTGGCCAGAGCCTTCTAATTGCCCTTTGAAAACAGCACCAAATCCACCTTGTCCAATGAAGGATTCTCTTCGGAAATCTTTTGTTGCGGATGCAAGCTGCCGGTAGGTGAATATCTGGGCTTTATTTTGAGCACCAGGGCCATCTGTCTGAGCTGAGGATCTCCTTCTAGATTCTGAATATTAATTTGGTGATTTAACTTTAGTTCCACAAGAAACTTGAAAAGGTAAGGTCTAAAAACAGGATTAGCGCGTGATGTTCAAAGCTATTTGGATTCAGGTCGAGTTAAAGCAAGTAGAATTCTTGACAGACAGATTAAGATCTAAGCTGCTCAACCAAGAACAAACACTCATTGAGTTATTTATAAGATGTCTAGCATATTTATAAGATGTCTAATTCCTCCGACTGAATCTTAAACAATCCAAGCACCATGAATAATTCAAATGTCATGCTAATTAAGCAAGCCAACAGACTCTACATTCTCTGATCAATGCGTTTTAAATGATTCCGTCTTCCTTGGAAACTTTTATCAGAGGTTTGACATGATTAATGTTAGACAGTTAGTTACATCTCTTCCACGCCTCTCAAAGCTTCATCAATGTGCTCCTCAACTACACTAATTTTCTCAAAATTGAACCAGAATCAAGTGATATAAGAAGCCATTGCATCTAATAAGAATTAGCTTGAAGACCTTTATTTTACCTAAGCATATTCATATGAAGAAATAAACTCAACAGTCACCAACGTTACAACTAGATTTTAATGATGATAAAAATTTCAATTGCAAAGTCCACCCATTTCTGATCTGCAACAAATATTTCTCAATCCGGTTTTTCGATTAACAAGAAGACAAACTTTTCCAAAACTAAATTTGGGAACCCATTTCCTTGAGTAATTCAAACAATTTCACAATCCAGAAAAAGGAAGGAAAAAAAGAGGGAAAACAAAATTGAATCACTCAGATTTTCATTTTCATCCGGTCTTGAAAACTTGTCAATTTCTTGCAAAACCTTACCTGGTAAATGCTCATGGCATTACAAGGTGAAAAGATTGATATCAGCTAATTTGAACTAATCGGAAAAATCCCATCAAAGAGAAACAACGAAGATTTGAAGAATCACCAATCAAACAAAACCCAGGAAAAACCCAGAAAGAGAATCAAAACCATCATACCATAATCATATTTAATAATCAAGAAATCAAAAGGCGAGAAAAAAAAGTCAATGGACGTGATTATTTCAAAAAAGAAAAACCAACCGTAAGAGCATTCAGGCTTGTTTCTCTCTGCAACACCTCTGTCTTCTTCATCCTTGGGCTTCCGCTTCCTAAACCCAAAACATGCACAATGCCCCATTCTTTCTCCCTTCTCTGGAAAACAACAAAAGGAAAAACATAAACATGTTTCTTCCAAGAAAAAACCCAAGAAGAAAAGAAAAACGTTTTCATTATAGTCACAAATCAATTGCACTACACTCAATGCAACAACTCACGAGAAGGAAAAGAAAAACGACTAAAAGATTTTGCGTTTTGATTGTACTGGAACTGAAGAGCTTTTAACGATTTTATACGCAGCGAAGAAGACAGAATGGATTAATGGAAGAATACTGGAACATGTGAAGAAGAAGAAAAAGAAGAAGAAGAAAGAAAGAAAGAAATCAACTGAAAGAAAACAAACAGAAGACTCTCAAAATTCTTTTTTTTTTTTTTTAAAATATTATTTTTCTAAACCGACACGTTTCCCAAGAAGAGAAAACCTGCGAATGAAAGGTACGCGCTTTTCTATAGTATCTAAAATTTTGTCAGCAATCTGGATTAATGACGTCATCGAATTAATAATATAAATATATTATTAATAGTTTAATATAGGTTTGACGTCAATTATTATTATTATTTTATTAAATATCATTATTATATCTGTTTATGACTTTCTTTATATAAATATTTATTTAATTTTCATGTAAATTACTATTTTCTTTATTTTAATTTTTAAAATTATTATTCATATATTTGTGTATGTGTGTGTGTGTGTGTATATATATATATGGAATGTTTCACTGTACGAGAGGATTGTATAATAATTTCCATATTTGCATGATTCTATCCTCCTCCAAGAAATTACTTTGAGCTGGAGATGACGCGTAAAGACTAAAGTGCCCTTTTATTTTTCCTTTTTTAGTAATTTCGTTTTTATTTTTTAGATTTGTTTTCCCGTGTG